TTCACTACACTTGCTTTCACTGAAAGTAGCCTTTTTGATAGCCATCACCTCAGCAAGACGCATCTCGGAACTTGCTGCATTATCGATCAGGGAGGATCTTTGTGTTTTTCTGGATGACAGAGTGATCCTAAAATTGGACCCTTCTTTCATTCCGAAAGTCAATACTAGCTTCCACAGGTATCAAGATCTGATTCTTCCGGACTTTTGTCCGCGACCTTCTCACCGCCTTGAAAGATTGTGGCATACATTAGACGTACGCAGGGCTTTGTATCACTATGTGAAGCGAACCGCTGCATTTCGTAGATCGGAGACCTTGTTTGTGTCTTTTCAACCTTCTTCCATGGGTCTGAAAGTATCATCCTCGACCATTGGTAGATGGATTAGGGCCTGCATCTCTAACGCTTACAGGACTCAGTCTCTTCCTGTTCCTCCTCACATCACTGCTCATTCTACACGTAGCGCTGCTACATCTGCGGCCTGGTCCACTCAGGCCTCGATTGAGGAAATTTGCAGGGCAGCCACCTGGGCTTCCCCCTCTTCATTTATAAGGCATTACAAGCTTGATAAATTCACTGCCTCAGACGCATCCTTCGGCAGAAGGGTTCTGCAGCAGGTAGTCTCTACGCATGAGCCACAAGCCTAGACTTCCCTCCCGACAGGGACACGGGTGGCTTTGGTATGTCCCAATCGGTGGATGCTACATCTATCATGCTGGAGAAGGGGCGTTGTCTTACCTGAACGCCTTTTCTCAGCATGAAGATGTAGCATCCACACCCACCCTTAACACTTAGTCTAGGCAGATTTTTTTCAGGAGGAGCTACTGTGTCAGACCTAATGAATGCTTCACCTCGACAAAACTGGGAAAGGAGTGCCCAGGGGAGGCGTGGCTAAAGTTTGGTCTTAGTCTAAATCTGAGCAGGAGGGCTTTGATTACCCAATCGGTGGATGCTACATCTTCATGCTGAGAAAAGGCGTTCAGGTAAGACAACGCCCCTTCTCCTATTGGGCCAGGGTTATGCAACATTGCTCCTCAGATGTCTTGAGTTCTTCCATTCAAGGAATCATTTTTTTATTCCTGCAACTTGAAAATTTCTTGCTAAGGTTATTTCTCATGTTCTTTATGGTGGCCAGATTTTCACTTTTACCCTAAAAGCTTTTCAGTTCAAGTTAAAAAAAAAACTATACTTGCAATTACAAGACTCATCAAAACATCTGCCTTATAATCATAGTTTGGTTTCTATAGTTGACTTTGGTTTCAGAGCCTGGTATTATCCCATTAATTTATGGCCAAAATTAAATTTAATTCTCTGTGTGACTTCATGGACTCCCTATGGAAGTCTCCCATTAAGAATCTTACATTCTGATTTCTCTTCAGGTTATATAAACCATAAGTTAACTGCTTCTTAGAAACAAGAACAAATGTGTTTAATTGGCTCTTATTTTTAGGTTGCTTGCAACTCACTGTGTTATTTTAACTGACTTCATAGCAAATTCTCCTATAAGTGGAACACCAAAATCTGGTGACTTTAGACATCCAGCCTCAGTGTGGCTTATGTAACAGCCTTTATATAACTTTGGCTAACAGTCTTATGCGTGTTCTGCTTTTTAAAAATATGATGTAAATTTGAGATTATATAATAAAATTATATATACAAAGATAAGCTATCTGAAATATCGATTAAGTAGGATGAAAATTTCTATTTCAAAATATGTGTGTGTACATGTGTTTCATTTTTATCTGTGTTAAATTTCACTAATTAAAGTTGCAAAAATCAAAGTAACTACTAGGTGGTAACAAAGAGATTGAATTTTCTGTGATTATCTGAAATTTGCAGATACAATATAGTAGTAGTACTAAATACTACAATATAGTAGTCAATACTAAACATACTTATCCTAGAATAATCTTGTGCTTTCTGAGTGCTTTTGATTAAACATTCATCAGTTCCTGATGATAAAGAACTTATGCTAACAAAGAGTATAGACTGAAAAAGTCTACTTTGAAAAGAGCCATTAAGAGGATCTTAACAACTGTGTTGTTTAGATATTAGGATTTTAATTTGTTTATATGATTAAGTTTATTCTTAAATTGTTTACTTTGTGTTAAAAGAGAATTAAAGCGCATTATATTTGTTTATTTATATAGTTGGTTAATGTTAGTTAAATTATGATTATTATATTTATTTATTATCAGCTCTGGGAAGTGGGGTAGGGGGGTGGGTTTGGGGTGTATTTTGTAATTTTTTGTAAAACTTTTCAATAAAAAAAAGAATAAAAAGAAAAGAACATAAATAAAATAATAAAATAAAAAGAGGATCTGCTTTTGAGAAAGTATAGTTAATAATGTGATGCAAGCCGGCTCTATATTGTGATAGGTATTATTGAATTAATTTACTTCTAAGAAAATGCACATAGGATGGTATTAGTTAGATACCAAATAAATTATTAACTTGGATGTCTATGGAGAGTCAGCTGGGGCCACAATTTCTGTCATCTGTATAAATATCATGATGCCAATGACATTATTGTGGCTTGAACTAGATACCTATACCCATTAGCAAGATTTGTGATACAGCAGTGTTTTTTGCCAAGTAGATTGAATCTTTACTTTTATTACTGACATTTTTCTCATCACAATCTTACATTCTTTGCTAAATTATAGCCTTCTCTGACTTCTATTAGATTTTTAAAGTTTTCTTGCAAGAATAGTTGAATTTACTGCCTTACGTTTAATTTACAGTATGTGCAGTTTCTGGCACTTAAAATGTGTAAGAATAAGCAAGTACGGTATTCATAAAACGTTTTTGGCATAGTCCTTTGGCCCTGGTGGATTCTGTTGGACCATAGTATGCATTCAACTCTCTATAATAGAAAGAGGAAAGGAGTTCCACCATTGAAAACAGCACTGCTGCCATGTCAGTAATGGACAGATTGAAAAGGAGTGAGTGTTTTGGGGTACCTCTCCTTCAATAAGAGGACAACTGTTCCTGTCTTGGAGCAGTGAAATGGAAATGAAAAAGTGATGGAAGCAAAATGTGGGCTTTCATACAGGTTTACTTGGAACTGCCATTGATGCCTAATAATAATCTAACACTATCCCCCCCCCCGCCCTTCACTTGTAAGGTTTCTAATAAAAAGATCTTTCCAGTATGGTAGAATAAATAAGAATGTGGGCCTAGGGGTCAGAAGACCCAAATTCAAATCCACCGGCTTCTGCTGAGTTTAATAGATACCTGTGAGCTAAATATTCTCTCTTAGCCCAACATACTTCACAGGATTGTTGTGTGGATGTTTAAAAAAAGGAGAAATTCAATTTATAGTTCTGCCACTTAAGATAGTTCATGTGAATATTCCAGCCTTAAAATCTGGACAAATTTTATCTTTGTTCAGGCCATAATGCTATGAGTGATGGATCTTATTCTCTAGGGAAGACCCTTAGTGCTGTATTTCTTCCAGTTCCTCTCTCAGTAGAAGCAGAGAACAAGGGCTTCTGAAATACTCATATTTCCTAATGGCTCCTTCTCACATGAGACCTAGTTTAGGAGGATTCCCCCCTCCTTTTCCCCAAAAGGGGGGGTTAATTGAATCAATGAACTGCACAGCCCGGCTATACAACATATGCTGACTTTCATATCAGCCATAATCATTACTTCAGGACCCATTGTCACTCATCATTGCCTGATTACACCACTTGGCCTGCAAGGAAATTTGATGGGAAGTGTCCAATGAGAGCATCCAAGATGTTTCCAAAGTCAGTTTTATAAAGCTTCAGATAAAGAGAGTGAGCGTGTTCCATTTACAAGGCAGAAAAGATTAGAAAGAGAGACAGTACTGCAAACCTGGAAAAGAGGTAAGGTGATAGTTTTCTCTGAGGCTTAGATAACAGATGTCCCCCCCCCTCCAAGATTCTGCACATGAGTAACATAATAGCTGGTCTATAAAAAGAAAATAGCTGTGGCTTGTGCAGAAGGTTGATTGATTTGGACTTAGATTTATCTGTAAACTGGCCAGAAAGACAGAATTTTGAAATGGTAACTGAATTTAAGGAGCGTGCTCAGCAGCTATATACTGTATACATTCTGGCAGGCAGACTGGATTCTTGCTTCTACTTCAGCTCTTCCTGAATTCGGTTTTGAAACTTATTACAGAAGAACACAGTTGGAAATAGCTGCAGGGTCATAGAGCCACGGGTTTCTGAAGAACAATGTCAGTGACATTCGGCTCCCAAAGACATGGAAATTGCAGATAGAGCATGCTTAGTAACATGAAAGCGGATTATGCTGGAGGTGTAATTGTAAGCCATGCATATAGGTGGTAATTTTATGGCTGCATTACAACAGCACTGCACAGAAAGTGATTACAGTGAGTTTGACCGAAATACAGGTTAAGATTGTCAGGTTTTTTTCCCACAATGTCTTTGTAAACCTAGCTGAATAAACAAAGGTTGAGGGATTGTGGATATAATTCTTGAATTTTTAAATAGGAAAGTCATAGATTTGTGATTATGGCTTTTGAGAATTAAGACAAGTTAAACCATCTTTTGTTGGTAACAATAAAATTTCACATGATAATAGGGGTAATTTCTTCAAATGTTTCTTGATGATTGATTAAAAATATATCATGCCTGAGAAAATAAAGGAATAAAATTTGGTATGTGCTCATTACTTAAAATCATCCTTTCAATAATAAAAAGCATGATGAAAGACAAAGAAGACCAAAAATGATGCAACCAATTAATGCATTCAGATCAAATTATCTCAAAATATATGTCTTATTTGTTATTAGCAACTAGAAATAATAATAAGCAGAGGCATGTAATGTGAGAACTTTATAACTGAACATTTAAAAATCAGGATGAAAGTTGAATGTAATGGAATATATTATGATACATGTAAGATACAGAAGTAATTTACAGTTGATTTCACTTATATTCACATATATTTCAGTTATACATATTACTGAATTCTGCCTTTATTCTCTGCATTTTTCTTTTGCAACAGTTATCCATGAAGGAGGTTGGGGACGGGCTGCATGAACAGATGAACTGCATGATGGGTGCTCTGCAAGAACTGAAACTGCTCCAGGTCCAGACAGCTTTGGAACAGCTGGAGATTTCAAGTGACCCAAACCAGGTTTCAGGAATTGGCCAGCATAAGTATTGTCAAAACAATAAGGAGATGCCAACGGCAAAGTTTGATGCCAGCCAAGAGAGTGAGACCCTGCTGGGAAAACATTATTTGGACAACTACAGATCTTCAGCCTTTTTATGCTCAACTCCTGTGTCACACTCTACCAGCTCATGTTGCCATATTTCTTTGCCAGACACTAACCATGAACACATAGCTTCATCCCTTAGCAGCATAGGTAGTGAGAATGACAGTGGACCCTCTTCAGCTGCGAGCACAACAGAGTATCATTCACCAAGAATGTTGGAGTCATCTAGTGACAACACAACAAGCAGTTGGCTTACTCAAGATACCAGCTGCTTATATGAGACTAAGTCAGTTTGTAAGGATTGTTGGTTTTCTGATGAGAACAAAGACTGGACTTGCTCATTAATGTCTCAAAGTAGAAACAGACAACCTTTGATTCTGGGTGATAACATCTTTGCTGATCTAGTTGGTAATTGGTTGGATTTGCCAGAGATAGACAGAAAAGGAGAAAAAAATGAGGCATCTCTGCCAAGTAGCAAGTCCCAAGAATTCTGTAGGAAATTTTCCCTCACAGCCAATCTCTTCAAGAAATTTTTAAGGAGTGTCCGGCCAGATAGAGACAGATTACTAAGACAGAAGTCCTGCTGGCTGCCTGCAAAAAACAAAGAGACTGAGATCTTAAAGCCCCAAGCAGGTGGCAAAAAGAAGGCGCTGTTTTACTTCCCAATTCGTGGGAGCACACCAAACTCTCAAGACAAAGCCAACAGGTGTGAGAAGAAGGAAGGAAGGAAAGTCAAGCCCAAACCCCATGGCAAGAAAGTCCACACCACAATAGAACAGACTCAGTCAGGGTTTGACTTTAACACAGCAGTCTGGGTCTGAATTCCAAGATTCATCATTTCAGTTGCTAAAACTGTTCTGCCCAAAACTAGAAAGAAAGAAGTAAGAATAGGGAAAGAAATATTTTTCAGACTCGGACCAGGATGAGGAAACAGTGAAGAAGAGGGTTTCTATAGAACAAGTTAACACATATAAGTAGCTAGACATTACTACCACAAGCATAACTTATATGACAAAATGTATTTCATAAATGGAACTAGAAGTCTCCTAGGGTAGTGCTTGCCAGTGTTGATCGTTTGGATAAGCTTCAAATTTGCCAAATGTATTCACTTAATCTCCAGGTCAAATTGCAACAGAGCATTAGGTCACAAGTGTGAGTGTGTGTTACATGCACTTATGTGTATGTCTGTTGTGTGTGATTGGATTTATTTTTTTAAGCTCTGTTTTTTTGTGTGTGCACTGATTCCTGGATTATGCACAAGGCAAATGAATAAGCACTTGACAATGAAGTTAAAGATGAGATGTAAGTTTGTAAAAAGAGACAGACTGTGGGACTTGAATGTAGATGAGTGGAATTGGTATAGCCAGTTTATCCTTCTGGTTTTAACTGTTCTTTTTAGAAAATAATTACTTCTGTCTCACCAACCACAATCCATCCTGTATTAGAATATGTCTAAAGAGTGCTGTGTTACTGGTAGCCTTCCCATCACTCCCACATCCCGATGAGCAAGAATTATTCATCTTTGATTTTTGCCTTCAAAGCCTTAAACTCTAGATGCCTCACTGAAATCCCGAGTTCTACCAGACTTTTTCCTGATTTTGTATTTTCATTTTGAATTTCTTACTGTGTTTGAACATAGTTGCAAAAATGTAGTTTTCTCCAGGGACCCCCAAGAGTTTATTAATAAAAGTGACATTCCTCTCCAATCTGTCTCCAAATGGGACTGTTTGTACATTCATACATTCTTTAGCAAACTGTTATATTGTCTGCATAAGAAAATGAAGAAACCAATTATAACAGCAGTTATTTAATGAAACTCACTAAAGCCTTTGTGTCAAAAAGCTACAATACACATCAGGAACATTGTATTTACTATAAATTTCTAGGAGATACTTAAAATCTTGTAGATACTAAAGACAAATCAGAACCCTTATATTCTGGGGGGAAATGTACAATAAGAACTATGCTGCATAACCATAGCGAGCCTTTAATTCCAGGCTTGAGTCCTATTTGATCATGGAATTTAGTGGCGACTTTGTTCCAGGTACTGTGTTTTAACCTGGATCACTTGGCAGGGTTCTCTTGTGGAATAAAATAAAGGTATATTTTACTTCCATATATACCTCTCAGCCCTCTGAAAGGAAGGATGAGATATAAATGAGAAGAGATTGATGGGATCAGGATATCTCGTATGGATAAGCTTTCTCTAGGCATATGAATCTGTGCCCATGGAATCCCTGTTTCTTTCAAATGATAGTACCACTCTGTACTATCAAAGTGATTAATACACAATGTTTCATTATTTGGGAATTAATATAACCTTTTGTTAATGAGGAGCATACAGTTTGATTAAAAGAAAGTAGATCCTGTCCCTTCCTGAATATGGACATCTGTATGTATAATAATCTAACATCCCCCCTTCAAGTTGCAATAGAGTTCAGTTTAGTTTATACAACCTCAGATCTATTTAAAATGTTAACTTCTGTTAATAATTTAGGACATGTCAGTGAAGGCACTGTATAATTTTCATAGAATGAGAAGACAAAAAAAGCCATAAGTGCCAGTGCTGTCTAATTACACAAAATATGTTTCTGTTTCAGCTACCGAAAGCAAACAGCCAAATTTTAAAGACCATCAGGAGACTGTTAACTGGAGATGCTTGAGTGTGTTTTTTTTACTCCTGCAAATGAATTAAACAGAGGCATAACACACACGCTACTTTTGCCCTTAGAAGGAATCAAAAGATGCTGAAAGATCTTTTGTAGGCATAGAAACAAGCATACATTTTCTTTTTTCCACAGGCTTGGAAGCACTTTTCTTAGTCTCTGTAAAGAGCTTCCCAATAAGTTGAAGATCACATTATTTTTCCAAAGTGATTGATCTCACAGAAATAATCTTGCAGCACGATGGGTGTCAAACAAATTTAATAATAAAAAATTAACTATATCTTAACATAACAATTGAAGAGTTATAAGGATTTCAAAGGATTCTGGACTGCTAGTGATTTCAAGATTATTATTCATCTCCATCATTTGGTGAGATCCTTGCTTATAAAACCAATGAAATTTTTTTGGCTAATGTCCAACATTCATATTTATCCAAGCTAGTGGAAAATAATAATAGAATAGAATAGAATAGAATTCTTTATTGGCCAAGGGTGATTGGACACACAAGGAATTTGTCTCCAATACATAAACTCTTATTGTACATACAAACAACAAAGTGATAGGTCATACTTCATATATCATAGCTACAATCATTAATCATAAGATAGTCAGAGATTCGGGACATGTTGGGATGGGGATGGGTAGGTGGGGTTTTAAAAGCAGCATCATGAGATCAATTCTGTCCTTAGTGTAAATGTATATACATACAAAAGGGTCAAAACATTTGATTGCATGATACTGCTTTTGTCATTCTGATTAAAAGTGTTGGATCCTGTGGACAACTAACTTGATTTCAGAAAATATTAAAGGAAATATCTTGTTTATAGAATAGATAACCTTTATTGTCAATTTTTACTGTGGGCACATTGGCACACATTAAAAATGAAATTTTGTTGCTTGCTCTCAAAAGTGTACACACACATAACACACCTTTAAACATGCTATATACAACATATGTATAAACCTACACCCTTACATATAAACAGGGCTTTTTTTGTCATAGAACGCCCAGAATGGAGTTCAGGCACCTTTTTGGGATGGAACCTTGTAGGGTAGGCAAGGCAGATTGTATGACGTGTGTGAGTTCCGGCACCTTTTTTTTTTTTTTTTTACAAAAAAAGCACTGCATATAAATAACATAAATGTTCATCATTGTCCATCTTGAATACATAGCGGAAAAAGGAAGCTTTAGAATCCTTTCTTTTGAATCCTTTCTATTCTGTGTTTAGATTCCTCTTTGATACAGAGATGGCTTTGGTTACCCGATGGACAAGATCAGGCTAGCGTGACTTTGTACTATTTGATCTAACAGCAGCTTTAAAAACTTAATTATTGTATCCTATTGTAATGCTTAAGGAGGTACAGGTGGAAATTGCATTTTGTAGCAATGTGGCTTTTCTCTGGGCGGGCTCAGTACATAGCATTGAGTTGGCTCCCCCAACTTTATCCAACAGATGCCTAGAATCCTCGAAAATAATATTGCAGAAGTCCCCCAGGACCTTGCTTAGCAAGCAAGAGAAAAATCATCTGAAGTAGGTAGCCCCAGACCACAGGTCGGCAACCTGCGGCTCTGGAGCCGCATGCGGCTCTTTGAGCCTTCCCCTGTGGCTCCCAGCCTCCTCTGCCTTTGCAGAGAGAGACAGAGACAGAGAGAGGCAATTGCGCTTCCCTGCTTTCTCTCTCTCTCTCTCTCTCTCTCTCTCTCTCTCTCTCTCTCTCTCTCTCTCTCTCTCTCTGTGTGTGTGTGTTTGTGTTTTTTTTTTGTGTGTGTGTGTATGTGTAAAAGAGAGTGCACTCACAGTGTTCTCCGAGGAGCTGAAAAGCTTACTGGGCGGAGCTCCTCCCTTTCCTGCGCAGGAAGCAGGAAGGGTAGGAGAGAGCTAGCTAGCCCAGCTAGGCTGACTCAGGAATTCTGGGAGTTGAAGTCCATGAGTCATAAAAGAGACGAGGTTGCTTACCCCTGAGCTTGTTGGACAACAGCTTGAAGCTTGCCAGGTGAGCAGCAGATAGGGGGAGAGAAAGAGAGAGAGAAAAAGAGAGAGAGGGAGGGAGGGAGAGAGAGAGAAGAAAGAGAGTGGGGGAAGAGGAGTGGCAGACCAAGGGCAGATAGGGAGGGAGAGAGAGAGAGAGAGACCCTTTTGACATCTAAAATGAAGACAACACTGCATATATCCTTTTTTTAACTTTGTGTGTATGTAATTTTATTCTCTTAAAGCATTCTCTTGGTGATCATTGTTTTAATAGTATGGATATTCCCAAGAGTCATATTTTTACTTTTATTTTTAATGTGTGTGTGTGTGTGTGTGTGTGTGTGTGTGTATATATATATGTATACACATATATAGATACACACACACAAATGTCCATACACACACACACACACCCCTATAATAAAGGTAAAAAAGGATATAGGCAGTGTTATCTTCATTTTAGATATCAAAAGGGTTTTGCGGCTCCTGATGTTTTGTTTTTGGTGGGAAACGGGTCCAAGTGGCTCTTTGAGTATTTTGGGTTGCCTACCCCTGCCCTAGACCTACCCAGGCACTTCATGGATCTGGATGGTTTCTGGTAGGCATTTTGCAATGTTCTCAACAATCTAATGTGTCAAGACCATTGGTTTGCCACAGGTTTCTGGATTCTTGACAAATTAATGTGGACATTTAGAGTGGCTATTACATGGCTCTCTGACTCTTGCCAGTTAAAATAATTTTTCAAAGGAAATTCACAAGAAAAAATACTCAGTATGATAGTCATTTTTTTTAACCCAAGAAACAGAAAAGTAGCTATCCTGGATAGTGGGTGAAACCATATTAAAATCCATTACATACAGAGGAGTCAATTTTAAGGAATTGGGGTGATGTCCAAAGACAGCAATGAGGTGTGACTTTAATTCCAGTGACAATTCAGGTAAAAATGGAAAATATTTCAAGGACAGGCAGCAACTAACTGCTGTACTATGCAAATAAGTCATATAAATCAGAAAGAAATATATGGTTGAAGGATGTATCTCTCCATACAGAATTCATAACTTTTGAGAGATAAAATATAAAGTTGTGGCAGATGTTTACAAATGCAGCTAAGAGAATGAAAGCTATTGCGCCTAATGTGCAGCATGTAAAATGCATGTGAAAATCATGCAACACACCTGCCTTTTCTAATATTTTTTCATCACCATAAACTCCTCCCCCAGCCTGCCTGTTCACACACAAGCAACAAGAGCCCTGTTCAAGCTCACTACTTGAGGATTTATAAATAAGGTAACATGAGCCGATTTTGCCATGACACCTGGTTCTTAGCAAATGGTTTAATCCTCCCCACAACAGCTGTCAGAAGCCCTGTTTTCCTGCTGTCTGACAAGGAAGCCAACTGGAACATGTCCTGAGAAAGAGACCTTTGGCTCTACTGCCTTTTCCTGACAGCTGCACTGAAGGCATCAGAACACTGTCCCCTTTATATAAGATGGGATAAGTGAAAAAGAGGTAGTAAAAAGAAAAGGTTTCAGACAGAAATTCTTCCTATTACCATGTTTCAGGGTAGAGAAGAAGGGACCATAATAATGATATTTTCCTTTGGGAAATGTTCTGTCAGAAATTTCTCCTTAGTTCTAGGTTGCTTCTCTCCTTGGTTAGTTTCCATCCACAGTTTCTTGTCCTGCCTTCAGGTGCTTTGGAGCAGTGGTTCTCAACCTGTGGGTCGGGACCCCATTTAGAGTTGAACGACCATTTCACGGGAGTCGCCAAACAACACAGTCCGCCATTTTTTCCCCCTTTTCCTTAGCTGTGCTACTCCCTTTTATTCTATTGGCTTTTGAAAGCCAATAGAATAGACTCTCTTGAATAGAGTCTAATTCTATTGGCTTTCAAAAGCCAATAGGAATTGTCCAGGCTGTCTCTGCCCTGCTGGGACCGCCAAAAGTCCCATTCTGCAAACGGTGCACCAGTTGAGTAGTCCTCGAATTACGACCAGTTGAGTAGTCCTCGACTTACGACCGGTTGGGGGTCGCAGCATTAAAAAGGTTGA